GGGTACACCCTGCCCCTGGCTGCCAGCACACATCCCTTCTCCCTCCATGAGTCTAGAGTCCTCAGCTGCTCCGTCTCTCCATGTCATCATCTCTGCCTCCATCTCTGGCATCGCTGCTTCTCTAGGTAGGGCCCCACACTCTGTTCCTGCTCTTCTCCCTTGATAGTCCCAGGGTCTTCTGCTCCAGGACTGTAAGATGGACCACTAACCCCTTTTTGCTACAAAATTTCCACCTTTACAGTTGCGACAATCGCAAATAGTTATGATAACAATTACTCACTATTGAATCATGAGAGTCTTGTCCCCATCTCCTTTCACCAGATCTGTCTAGACGGGATGAAAACCACTTAGTGGGGATTCTACCTTGCCCTGCACACTCTGAATCTAAAGTCCCTCTTGAAAACTTGTAAGCCAGTCACTTCATGCCTTTATAGCCCCCCACCTCATCCCATTTTAGGTAGCCAATGTCTAAGTTGCCCATCCCTATCAACCTTGTGTACAGAGGGGATGGGAATGATCATTTCTGTAAAGGTTCTTTCCCTTTTGGTTGGTATATTAAGCTACTACATCCATAAGTATAGGTCAAGTTCATCAGATTATAGCAATTTACCCTTATTTTCTTTAAAAAAAAAAACAACCCTCTTTTTCCTTCCTCTAGTCGGGTTCTGATCATCCAGTCATTGAAGCTAGGTTCAATGGGCACTATCTGCAAGTTTGGATGCCCTTGTGCATATTCGCTCACTTCACATCAGCTGGATGCTTCACTCAGCTCTAGCCCTCCGTGGCCATGTCTTTGTCCATGGGCTCAGGCATCCCCAGATTTCACCATACTTCAGGCCAACCAGCTCTCACCATACTCTGGGTTGATGGGGGTCTATGTAACTTGGTCGGACTCAGCCCACCTCTTCATTTCTGCCTTCCCCATTTCCTCTCACTAGTAGACCAACGTGGTCACCAGCAAGCTTATATGCCTGTTTATGTATTGCCTTTGAGTTTCAGTCTTGGGAGGAGGCCTTTCCTGAAGGGACTTGAGTGCTTGTCCCTTGATGTCTTCCAGTGAACAACTTGCTTGTTCTTGTAGTAGCCAATCAGACTGCCATTTTTGTTTTTGTTTTTCCCTGCTGGTCTTTCTTTCAAGAAGTATCTTCTGTTCCTCTAGCTGTTCCAGGTTAGTCTGCTTGTCTTTTCACGTGGGAATTTCTCATCTCAGAAGGTTCTGGATGGGGATCAGGATTCCACCTATGTGGACACTGATTCTTTTTTTTTTTTTTTTAATGTTTTATTGTGTATTATGTGATAGTTTACATGAGAGAACATTAGCTTACATTCATCTTATTGTATATCATTTCATTGCCATGGTTACAATCCCCTCCACGCATCATCAAACAACCAAAGTATATACCCCGCAAGCCTGCTCCCTTGTCATTAGCACACAGTCCTTCTCCCTCTTTGGGTCTAAAGTTCCCAGCTGCTCTATCTCTCCATGTCATCGTCTCTGTCTCCGTCTCTGGTGACACTGTTTCTCTGGTAGGGTCCCGCACTTCACTCTTCTTCTTTGATGGTCCCAGGGACCTCTGCTCCAGTACTGCAAAGTCAAACTACTCCTGTCCTTTTGCTACAAAACATCTACCTTTACATTTCCAACCCTCACAGTCAGTCCTGATAGCAATTATTCACTATTGTACCACAAGAGTCCTATCCCCATCTCCTTTCATCAGCCCTGCCCACACAGATTGGATACTACTCAATGGAGATTCTACCTTCCTCTGTACCCTCTGGATCTAGGCTCCCTCTTGAAAGCTTGTAAGCCAGTCACTTCTTGCCTTTGTAATACCCCCATTTTGGGTAGCCAATGTCTAAGTTGCCCATCCCTGTTTACCCTGTGTATCAAGGGCATGGGAATGATCGTCGCAGTAAAGGTTTGTTCCCTCTTTTGAGCTACTGCATCCGTAGATGTAGGTCAAGTTCATCAAATTGTATCAGATTACTCTTTTTTTCCTCTTCTTTATTTTTCTAGTTGAGTTCTGATCATCCAGCCATTGAAGCCTGGTTGAGTGGGTATTATCTGCAAGTGTGGGTGTTCTTGTGCATATGCCTTCTCTTATCAGCTGGACTCTTCACTCTCCACTCTAGTCCTCTGTGGCTCTGTCACTGTCTCTGGGCCAAGGAGTCCCCAGGTCTTGCCACACTGCTGGCCAACCAGGTCTCCACCCAAGTTCACAGGAGTCTATTGAATGTTGTAGGGCTTAGCTTGCAGCTTTATTACTGTTTTTCCCTCACTTCCCCTTATTGGTGACCAACATGGTCACCAATCAGAGCGCATGTCTGCTGCTCATGTATTCCTTTTGAGTATTAGTCTTGGAAGGGGTTTGTCCTGAGGGGACCCAAACACTTGCCTTGATGTCTCCTATGTGAGCAACTTGCTTGTTCTTGTAGTAGTCAGTTGGACTGCCGTTATTGTTTTGTATTTTCCTGTCGGTCTTTCTTTCAAGAAGGATCTTCTGTTCTTTTAGCTCCTCCAGGCTGGTCTGCTTGTCCTTTCAAGTGGAAATTTCCCACCTCAGATGATTCTGGATGGGGTTCAGGATTCCACCTATGGTCTTATGCAATGCAAAGGCTCCGCAAGAAGCCTCCTTCACTGGGCATGTTGTAGCTCCACTTTAGGTATTTCAATCAGTTATAGGCAGAAGAAGGATTTATAAGCTTTCTATGGTGATATTTCTGGCTGTTCCTTAATCTTGCCCTCAAGTATCTATTTTAAATGGTATGCGAGGGAAGCCAAGATTCAAAAGACAGCCAAGAATCTTAACATTATTTCCCCACTTTTACCCACTCAAACCATGTCCCAGTCTCTGTATCCCAGAGCTCTGATGTTCCAAGGTTGTACATACATCATTATTTACCTCTGTCCCACTTAGCCCATGTAAACCTGCCTAACAGTTCTCCCATCTGCCTTGTTCTTCCATTCCCCTGACCCTTCTTGTGTTTTGGCCCTCCCCGCCAACATCCAAACTATCCTGTGGGCACTGACTCTTGCAGGGACTAGGAGATTTGAGTTTAGAAGCCTGACGGGGTTGGAATTCTAGTTTACCTACTGGCTGTATTCCTGGGTAAACTATTCACTACCTTCCAGGCTCTCATTTGTAAAATAACAATAATAAAACAGAAAGATTACCTTAAAGTGTTATTCTGATGACTAAATGAGATATTTCTTTCTTTAGGTCCATGAACTGTAGAACTTCCAACGCTGGGCGGAGGAATGGATGGAGTAGTAAATAAAACTCTTCAGAGGATTGTGGTGCTTAAAAGGAGGAGCTCAGACAACAGCGAAGGCCAGTGAAGATATGGTATTTCTTAAGACCCAGATGCAGGCACCTTGGAAGAAAGACCTGGTGATCCATTTTGAAAACTCAGCAATTAAAAACCCTATGGAGCACAGCTGTACTCTGACACACATAGGGTCACCCAGAGTTGGAACCGCAGATGGCAATTGGTATTTTTATGAAGGAAAGAAATATCTGATGGAGAGTCATTTGGAGGAGGGGCTGGCCACAGGTCAACATTAAATAGGTTGATGGAGGGGACATTTGGCCTCAGTAGACATTTGAGCCCGCCTGACTAATGGGAAGTTTTTTTGCCCTACAGGATCTGGGCTTTCATTTAGAGCAACATTTCTTAATCCATCAATTTTTATTGACCCCTGCCCTCTCTTCCCATGCCTCTAACCTGTACGTGACATTTTTTAATTGTCTGGAAACATTTTTTGGGTGTCACAACAGGGGATGAGAGTGGTGTGGTAGGGTATTACTGCTAGGGGTCAGGGATGCCGTTCAACAAACATCCTACAATGCTCAGTTCAAGCCAGGCAACAGACAAGTAGTCAGCAGTGTTCAGGTTAAGGAACACGGTAGGAAGGGAAGGCCAAGGGTAGGGAAGGGCTCTTAGTCAGAAAGGAGACTGCTGTGCTTGGAGAACAAGCGGAAGTCCACCCTGAGTGACCTCAGATAAAGTGGTCAGGAGGTAGGCCGGCTGGACTCGGGGGTGTTTTTTAGGGCATGGTGAGGAACTTGGAATTTCTCCAAATGCAACGAGCAGCCTTCGGAAAGTTTTAAGCAGAGGATGGGGATAGCTCATATAAGCGCTCGATAAATATTGTCTATAAGTATGGCGTGGTGGGTTAATACATCAGACTGCAAAGCCATTTGAACTGCAAGGTCGGTGGTTCAAGCTCACCAGCCGTTACTCGAAAACCCTATATAACAGGGTCGCTATAGGTCGGAACCGACTCCACGGCACTTAACAACACCTTAACCCAATAGTCAATAAGGAGTCCACGCGGAGCAGTGGTGAAGCACTCGGCTGCTAATGGAAAAGGCAGCAGTTCGAATCCACCAGCTGCTCTTCCCGGAAAAGATGTTGCAGTCCGCTTCTGAAAATATTTACAGACTTGGGAACCTATGGGACAGATCTACTATGAGTCGGGATCGACTAGAAGGCAATGGTTTGGGGTTATAATCATCACGATTTTTTCTAACAGAGTCAATATACTGTGTCTTCCCCACTTGTTCCGGCCCCACCCCAGGCCTCAGCACGGGCGCAGTGACTCCTCCTGGCCAGCAGAGGGCGTCCGCCGACACTTGGCCTCCGGCCGTCTGGGGCGGGCCTCCTCTTGCCGTCCCCTTCCTTGTCTTTTCCCCTCAGGAGAAGTCGGGAAGGTGGCATCGGTGGCGGCGGTAGCAGCGGTGGCGGCGGCGGCGGTTGTCCCCGCCCGGCCGGTTGGCGTGGCCCGTCATCCCCCTAGCTCCGCAGTGTCCACGCCGCGCCGAGCCCCGTAGAGTCGAGCCGCGGC